AAAGTACATTAGAGGGGGTTAATTATTTATATGTATATTAAATTTGATATGTTCTGTGTCTGTCATTTAAAAACTAACTTAGTGGTATTTAATATAGAATGAATAGACTATTTCAAGAATTTATTATGAAAACATGATACTATTCATTCATTTCAACCTTGGTACGAATGGATGGAGATATTGTAATCAGTTGCTTTTGTTCATATTTGAATAATATCATTAATGTAGTTGAACAATCTTACAAAATATTAGTTGTAGGCACTAACTACACTGTCTAGCTACTTTATTAGGACATCTACATAATATTGGATTGGACCATTTTTACCATGATGATAATGTGGATACTGCATGATGTAAACTACAACATTTCATTTTGTGTTTTTTTCTATTATAACCTTTTCATCGTGGAGTATACAGTTCGTTCAGAGATAACAATGAAGGATGATGGTGATGAATGTGGAATCATGTTCATCACAAAGATACTAATTTGATTGAGATTTGGTGAATGTACTGGCCAAAGAAAATTACAAGAATGATGGACAGCCTTTAACTTGCAAGTCTGTCCAGTTATCCATTTCTTTGGTGTAACACCAGTGGTTGACATCTAGTTCCTCCTAATTACAGGCTATTCCAACTGCTCCTGTTAATAAACTTTGTCACATCTTTAATTAGCTAGTCAACAAAATGGTCTAGGGTAATAATAACCCTGTACTTAACATGATACTTCTTCAAAAGTAAGAGCTTTATGAAGTGAGATAGCAACTGCCAAAAGTGGCAAAATGTAATGGGTAACAAAATAAAATATTTTTTTTTATGTTACTGACAATTAATTATCTCACCTTGTTCAATACCCTTTGTTGTTCTCTTGTTGACCTAGAAAGTATGATCATAAATGCAAGTACTATAAAACAAGCCTCTACTTAACAAATCAACACATTCATTCAATGCATTTGAACTAGGCAACAAGTTAAAATTTACTTCAAGAGGAGTAAAAATCAGGATTGCTTCCTAGAGATTTATTGAAATACACTTTCCTGACAAACATGACTTATTTGTTCCAAATGCATTTGTTTCAGTGTGAACAATTTCTCAATGTTGAAACCAAGTAAAGCCTATCTTTAGTCCACAGTGCTTTGTTTGTTTGTTTGTTTTAAGAGCAAATTTGTACCAAGTGCTTCCTGTGATGTGCTGTGCCTACTGCATGTATAAAGCCTAAAGTTTAGTGTTATAAGCCTTCACTCTTGCTGCCGAGATACATGTGAGATTTACTTGTTCTTACTCACTGATCTGTAGGCTAACTATAACTCTGCATTTATATTACCTGATACATTACACAGTCAGTCTATCTTAAACATGTAAATATAGATAGTTTTCTGCAAGTAAGGAGAGGATTCTTAAAAAGATGGTGAAAAATAAAATTAAGAATAATATTGAGCAGGTTTTTTTTCCAGTTCCAACAGATAAATGAAGATTTATGTGAAAAGAAAAGTACTGCTAGTATATATTAAGTTACACATACTGTAGTGATACAGTGTTTTTATTTCTTAAAGAGAAGCAGGGCATGGCCTAGTTTGTATTAATGTTTAGCATGTTCCTCTGTAGTTCAAGTTTAGAATGTGTGATATGCTAATTGACATATGGTCTGCACTGTCAGCCATGGCTGCATTGTAAAAGTGACATTCTGCTAATCGGTTAAGAGGGGTTGTGTGAGTGGTAGGTGCTGTTGTCTGATTTTTCTTCTTGTTGTCAGTAGTTCAAAATTAATAATGGCTATGCCTGAACTTTGAGGCCTCTAACCTGGACATTTAGTCATATGTTGATAAGGTACAATTATGTTTGTAAATCCCAAGATTTGAAAGACAAATAAACACCACTATATTTTAATTTAATTTATTAGTTGACTGAGATGTTGTTCAAGCTTTTTAATTTTTTTTTTTAAATTTCATGTTACTGAAAACTTTGCTTTTTTTTCTCCAGTATTAATCAAACACGTGATTACTACACAAACATATTTAATGCCGTGAATGGGTAAGTAAATATTATTTCTATTCAATTTTTTCTTTCTAAGCTAAGAATTGTTTATAAAATTTTACAAGTTAAATATTATCTGACATGTATAAAGAAGAAGGAAACACCAGTAGATAAGTACAATAAGTTGTATTGAAGTATTATTTGTATTTAAGTAAGTTCAGACTACTTGACATACAACTAATTCAATTGTAATTTAAATTGAGAGCAAAATCTGTCTCAGCAAATTTATTGTTCACACTATCAACAATTTTAAATCTTTTTTTTTTATGGAAATAAAAATAGATGCCATATGTTTTTATGAAATACATAGTTCCGATAGGTCACTGTCCAAATGTGAATAGGTTTCAAAAACTAATGTCAATACTCCTAGTTCTACAGTGTTCGTTTTTATTTAGACATTGTCAGAGTTTAATGAAATAATTACATGAGGAAACCTAAGTTGGTATTCAGTTTCTTAAACATAAGGTCAAAGTTTTTGCAATATAGTACATTGTAGATGTTTTAAAGTTTTTGCAATATAGCACATTGTAGACGTTTTTCCTAAATTTATTTGAATATTTTATTTACATGAATGGATTGGTTCCACCCTCAGTGAAATTGGTATATAGGAATGAGTACAAATTAAATAAAATGCAAATGATCTTTGAGAACACAAGCTCAGAAAACACTGAGAAGGAAGGAGCTGTAGAATATACACATAAAAAACATGAAATGCACTAAAGAATAGAATCAAAATGTTATTATTAGTGTGAAATGAACAGTAAGCCAAACATTTATATGTAAAAACAAAACAGAAAACTGGAAAATAAAATACTAATGTGTATATTATTCGCAGTTTAGGATACATCATTAAGTATGGTTGTACTTAATAATAGGGACCATGATGAAATAAAATGGAGGCCATAAAAATTGCTCATTTAAAACCACTTTTAAAATATCTGAGTATTAACAATGACTGTATTGGCTGAGCAAAACCAAAGCTTATTGTACTTATAAAGCCATATAAATCATCATATACAGGTTTATGGAGTGAATCAAACTTTCACTGTTATCCATTGTGGCATAGCATAATTACAGATGCTAGTACAGGAAAGAAGTGTTACGACAGCGGAAGTCACGTGATGCAGCTTGCGCATTGGCACTGGTTGCATGTGTGATGAGTTTCTCGAATGATCGGGAAGTCCGAGTTTGTTCAAGATGCTCTCTTCGTTAGTATATAAGTCTGGCAGAGAAAGCCAGCAGAGATGAATGAATGAAGAGAGAGAGCAGTAGTTACTTTGAGTTCCGTGTAATTTATGATTCTGTTAGCTTCGAGCTAGTGAGCCGTAAAGTGTGTGTTTTGCACTCGTTGAGAGCGAAGTTATCGAGATTGTGATTTATAGCTTGTATTATAAAAGTTGTTAAGTTTAAAGTGATGAGAAACGTACTGATTGTGGAACTACTGTGTACTAAAAGTTCGTAACGAGGAAGAATAAACTGGTTTAATCAATAAAGGACTTGTATCGCTGAAGATCCTCGGAAATAATTTCTACCAGAAACAAACAAGCAGATACGTAACAGAAGTATAGGGTATGTTAAGGATATCATGTATTGCACATCTATAGCAAACATCATGGTGCTAAAGACCAGGATAACAGACTCCATCACCACTAAAAACTGTGGACATGTTGCAGCAAATGTGGACTGAAATTGATTATCAATTAGACATACTGAGAGCCACTAATGGTGCACATGTAGAAGTCTACTGATATGTCAATAAAATCTTTCTGAATTGGAGTACAAGGTGTTGAAACTGCATGTTTGTATTTCCTTAGTTAATTATCAAATTTTAAAAATATGAAATATAATTTTGGATTACCCTGTATAATAACAACAACTGTCAGTAAGTGAACTTAGTATTCCAAAAATTGTTTAATTTCGAAGTCTAAGTTCAAGGGAGATCCACTTCAATCTACACTCTGATCAACGTGTGTTACTGGGTTATACTAGTTTTGGAGAATTCCACTCCTCATCTGTAACCCTGAACACAAGTTAACTAAAGAGAGTTAAGCTGGACCTATATCATAGTGAAAAGTATCAAACATACTGTGTGGCTATATAATGTGAAGAACTGAATAGTGGCCAGTGACCATTTTTCTTCACCTATCCAGTGTATAGGTTTTCCTCACAGTATGCTTGACAACAGTGTCATTCTTTGCAAGGACGGGCCTATCTGCATGACTGATAATCACTCTCACTTCAAAGTAAGGGATAGAGCATCACCCAATTACCTTGTAGAAGAGATCATCACTGTCACTTTCTATATTGAATGTAATACGTTGTGTCAATCTTTTTTTTCTATAGAATATGCTTAATGCCCTAGTTGACTAATCCAGTTCCATGAATAACTAGGACAAGATGAATTAGTGGCTTATTTGACCAGTTTTCTAACATTAAGACCAAAATACTCGTATGCAAGGGTTTGCCTGTATATCCCTGTAAATTTAATAAAGATGATGAGTAAGATGTTTTTAACTTGTTAGTCTTTATTTTTAAAGAATTCTAGTAAATAATTTCATAAATTTTCTCCCTTTTTATGGTATGCAAGTACTTTGCTAGCTGCCTCCTCTTTCAAATATTTTTTGTTCCTGTCAGGGTCCTCATCCCAGGTGGTGGGGCAAATTTAGATACATCTGGTTATGGAAAAGCTGGAAAAATTCTGTATAATCTTGCAATAGTGGTATGTATTAAGTTTTATTTGCTTTGTGATGATTCTATGAGTATTTTAATTTCTTTAAATACCCAAAACATTAGCCAAAACTTCAAGTACTGGATCTGTTTTTTTTAACACTTACTTAATTAAAAGCTCAAAACCTCTTTACTGTTTCGAGTCTAATAGTGACAGCATGAGAAGAACAATAGCAGATATATATATATAAATACTCAATTCAAAGAAAAAAAACCCAATATCCTGGGGCACTTTTAATATGGTATGCAATTAACATAATGAAATATGTATAACGTATTTTGTGTTTATGGTAAAGCTACGTAGGCTGTCTACTTCCATCCTTAATTTTAACCAAATGAAATAAAGAATTGACTATCACTCTTGTAATGGTATCACAGCTTAAAATGCAGTGAATATTTTATGGTATTGCATGTATTTAAACCAAATTCATTAGCTTGAAATATTGAGCTCTTCCATGGGCCAATCCATGCCCATATGATAAAATAAAAGTTAGCAACTGGAAATACATATTGTATGCTAATTTTAGTTGTTTTAATGGATTTAGAATTATGAAATTTAGCAAAAATAATGCATATTAAGCTTATTAATGGCTGGAGACGGCTTAAATGGGTAATAAAGAAAAACTTTAATATAAGTCTTAAACCGTCTATTTGAAGGAAATG